TCGTTAACTTCACTTCACTTTATGATTTTCTTACCTTTTATTATTTGCACAATATATCCTTTGTTCAAAATTTGAAACTTTATGGGAACAACTCGTTGTGGTTAAAAACTTTTATGGATTATAGCACTGTGTGGAAATTCTATGGTTCTGACATTTGACATCACTCAAAATGACTTTGACGTTTCTTGATAGGTAATTTTTGACTTGATTATTATAACTGATGTGCTTTTGTTATTTCAGGTACAAACTTAACGATTTTTCTTGCTTGGAAATATTATGCGAGGTGGCTACTTTACTTTTATTGAATCCAAAACAAATGACTCGTTACTACAGAAATGCCAACCAAACTTTTGAGAATTTTCTTATATTAAAATACTGACTCTGTGCATGTTCTAATCAGCATTATCTTTCTGTAATTATAGATTCTATTAATTTTTATGAACATTTTGACTCTTTTAATGTCTCTCTTCGTTGACTTTTAAACTTTCAATAAATTTTACTTAATTTTGAGAATTTTAATTAAATTATGCTACACAGCTTGATTTTCTGCCTATATACTTATTCACTGTCTTCAAAATTAACCTTTTTTCACTTTTTCAACAGTTCTTTACTGTTTATGTAGCTTAACGATTGACATGTTTTCAGGTCTATCGATTCATAGAAAACTTTTAAAGTTTATACACAAATTTGAACTTGGATTGGGATCTAAATACAGTTAATGATAATTAGAAGGTCTCTTGCACACTGTACAAACTATTTTGCAGTTCAACAAATTTTTAAAACTACAATTTTACACATTTTTGACGACACATGGATCTGTCATTTCGAAAACGTTATTGAAACTTTTTATAATGCTTTAAGTTTAATTTCACACATAAATTCATATTGGAAGTATGCTATACTTTAATTTCGTACATGATTTATTGCATGTTTTTCATTTAGGGCATTTATCTATGACATTTATTTTTGGCAATAAATGCGTTTGTTTTTCAGATTAATTTCCAAGTTTTTCAATTGTTATTTTTCTGTATTACATATTTTTTCTCCAGTAAAAAATGTAATAAAATTAATAAACTGCTGCGCCAAAAGGACCAATAGAGGGTTATTTTTGCTTAACCAAAAATCCCATACAGAAAAAAACAAATAAACACATTTTTGATTAGACAAAACTAGTTATGACCCCAGACTGATCATTTTGCTGCAAAGGTTTCATTAATTTTTTAAATAACAAGTAAACAAAAGAAACGAAAACTATACCAAATACATGACTTCAGACAATATTTTGTTTTTCAGGTATAATTATGGTGGGTTTAAGCAACCTTAATCAATTTTAAACTCTTTCCAATTTCAAGGAAATATCCAACTCTGTGTTCATTTAATTCCTCAGTCCGGATTTAAGTTCTATACTCTCCATTTACCACTTTAGATTCCTCCTTCAGTTCTGTTAAGATTGGAATTGGAATCGTAGAATAGTTGAGGACTATTTCCGATGGGATTATCTAGCCCCTTTAATAAAAAAATATGGATGATGGGTTGCAGAGACGCCAGCTCCATTCTCATGGATCCCCTGCTATTGCCTAATCTAATCTTGGGGGTATTAAAACTCGACCCGAAGGAAAACTGAATCGATGTCGTTTGGTAATAGTATCCGAAGTTATAAAACGCCGAATAACTTCCACATTGAAGGGTTTCAACGCCAAAAATAAGTTTCTTGTGTTGTGGAAGCTTAGGCTGTCGTACAGTATGATTGCTTGTTTTACATTATAGGAGGAGTAGAAAATATACTCGTACCTTTGTTTTAGCAACAGTATTTTTTTAATACGAGGGAAAGTTATTAAACAATAGGCACTGTTAAAAGATATGTTTTAATTTGTTGTTACTTCTCTTGTGTTAGAACACATTTTACAATATCTGTTTAAATATTTGTGGATTCGAATGTATATTTATGGACGAGTCTGCTTTTGGTCAACAAGCTGACATATATGATCCAATGCATTTTTGAGTACATGGAATAATATGATAAAAAAGTGACACTTTTCGTTCGAAAACGAACTTTTATCGACAAATCTGCTTTTGTCAACACTTTTTAGGCTATAAAACTGACCACAAAGCAAATTAAATTCCGTTGACGTTAAATTTTTTTCTTGGTTTGTTCTTTGGTTTAGTGTCACTTACTTCATGGATATTGTAGTCGCAAATACCAGCTCGTATTTTCAAGGCTATACATTTTACATGACGTGGCGTCTAAGTGACATTTCTCGCTTTGAAATGAGTTCATAAAATTTTCTCGAAAACTTTCGTCAAAAGTCGACATTTTCGTTAAATTTTCAATTGACAAAGTGCGTCTTTTTTATCAACTAGCTGCAAAATACTTTTATGTTCTAGTACGCCAAAGTCTCGTATAGTGTTTTGAAACTCTCAAAAATATTAGGTATTGAATTTGTTGTTGCACATTTAGCAATGAATAGAAAATGGTAAATAGCAACGTAGGTACTTAAGTATCTTCTTATTTGATTTCCCAATTATCTAAAGACCAGTAAATTTTACGAATACTTTATAAGAATGCTTTATTGCCACAAATTGATTGTACATTTTAAAAACATTTAAAATTATTTAAAAAACCAGTGCCGTACGATTTTCTCAAAAAAGACCCCCTACTCCCCCAATAACTACGCCACTGGAGTGTATTTCGGAATAAGTTATCCGCGCGAAAATAAGGCGTCAAAGTTGGGTGGGCTCCGTGGTTTGCATCTTGGACCTTGATTTGATTTGTTCGTTAGTTATTCTACGGGCCGTTACACCTAAGAAAATTTAAAAATGTTTCGTCCGAGCTATGTCTATTAAATTCAAAAATTTATTAAACACGTTCCTGATTTACCTTGTGATAGAGCAATAATAAAATGTCGTATTTGTGAAATGATTTTGTTAGGTTTGGGTTTCTATCAATGCAAAAGACAATTGAACTGTCTGCAACTACATAAAACAATCGATTCTTACAGTTGCCGTACTGGGTATTTTTATTACATTAACTAATTTCTATGTTCAGTTTGTATGTATTTCGATTATTTTAGTGGAAATACACTTAAGCGACCATTACACCGAAGTTGTTGATTGCATGAAAAATGAAATTTACAGTAATATACGACAGATCGGACTTAAGACGAAAAAATGTGGATAACAGTAAACAAAACTAGAAAGAGGGAGAATAATTTCACCAGATGTAGGCGACATACAGAGTAACGTGTTGCTTCAATAGATTCCGCTTTAAAGAGTTATCCTTTATTCCTTTAGCCTGTCACTTTCCACATTTTCGATATACCAAAATACTTGCTACATAATACATTTAAGAACTATTTTTGGACTTTCCTATTACCATCTCATAACAGCGTCAAACTTTTTCACCAGCTGTTTGTATAAAATATCGATCTTCTATCCTCGCGAATATAGCGAAGTCTCGCTCTCGTCCTGACCCACTTTCTGTCAATGCCATTGGGAAATAATTTAATCAGTGTTGCCTGTCGGCGTGAAGCGCAAGACACTCTATTCAATCTAGAGGATCTCAGAAAGAGAAAATGGAGCGGGGAAGCTGTTGGAAAGTGAAATCGGGTGGTGTCTACCTCGTCACTTCAAAGCGAATTGAATAAACAAACTGTTTACTCCTAGAACTCCCTCAAAGGAACTGGTNAAGCGCAAGACACTCTATTCAATCTAGAGGATCTCAGAAAGAGAAAATAGAGCGGGGAAGCTGTTGGAAAGTGAAATCGGGTGGTGTCTACCTCGTCACTTCAAAGCGAATTGAATAAACAAACTGTTTACTCCTAGAACTCCCTCAAAGGAACTGGTATTATGTGTATAATAATAGTTATGTTCAAATGGGAATAAACAGCAAACATTTTTTGTTGTTGTGCTGAGTAGGTACAATTTTTTTTTAGAAAAAGTCGTTGCTGTAGTTGGCCATGCCACGCTTTCTGGTGTCAAATCTGGATTACAAATGATTTTCAGCAATTGGTAGAATTGAAATGGTGTCACGATATATATTTTTTCTCCAGTCAAATGTTCAAATATTAATATTCCCTTACAACGGTTGTATGTCACTGTATTTCAGTGTTGTTTTTTTTTTAAATAAAAGTTGGTGATCTGGAATATGTTGATAGTGAATTTCACAAACCAATAAGCAACAGTTTTTGTGAGGATTTTCTTGTAAATCGAGCAATTGTCTCTTACGTGGCCAAAGTCTCTAAAACTTTTTTCTATTTTACTACCTAACTACCGATCGTGTAATAATATGCCTCTCCGGGTATTTATCATTAAACAATTCGCAAACTACAGCTTGTGTCGAGTCCTGTCGCCATATCATACCATAATCAAAATTTCTATTCGTTGCTTCAGTTGCTCAGTTAAACATGACATTCCTTCAAACTTTACGACTGCACTTGACAATTACTTATTTTAAGTCAAATTGTCATACTGTTTCCATGTGACAAGCCAACAATATCAAGTCGATAATACACTGCTCAACAATTGAACTGGATACTTGTGATTATCTTGAAATATTAATTCAAAAATATTGTTAAAATCATTACATTGCATACTGACAATGGGGTCAATACTTTTTGCTGTTTTTTGTTTTCCTGTGTAGTCAACAATTTGGACATTTAATTTGATTTGTTGTTCTGTTTTATAAATAAATAAATTAATTAATAAACCGTACATTTCTCGATAACTGTTGAGTTTAGGTATAGGACATGGTACATGAAATTTACTTAGATTTCGGTGCAGAATTCAAAAATGAATTAAAAAAGGGGATATTTACAGTAAATTAATATTGTGATCCTTTAACACCTCTCCAAAACGAAGTTTATAAAACAAAGTGCCATTATTTTGGGTTGCTTAATCTACTGCTACAATCTGATATATTAAAATTGGGACACCCTGTATAAAAGAAGGTTACAACATATCAATCTTTTTTCACTTTTTCAGCGTGTAATTTCAATTTTCAGGTGATGGATCTAGCGACCCGACTTTCCGCCAAGTTGGACGAAAAGAAGCAGACCGACCAGCAGGACGATAGCGGCGGTCAGGAAGCTCCGCAGGCACAGGGAACCTCCGATTCGGATAGAAACGTGATGCTCTCCGGAGAATTTCCCACAGGCGCCGTTACGGAACGGGAACTTGAAGCGGATGAGGTGTGAGGCGTCTTTTTTTTTTCATTCGAAGGCGCCCGCTCTTATCTGGAAGTCGGGCGCTCGTTTAGTGCCATTTGTAGGATTCCTTTTGCTTAAATGAAGAAGTCAGCGTGCATGTAAGGAACTCTAACAACTGCTTAAAAGTAATAATTTTTTTTTATCAATATGTTGATAGATACTTGAGTTGATATGTTGTGAAATATTATGGAATAAATGATGTTGCAGGTTCATAAGTTAACTTAATTTTTATTATCATTTTCCCTCTAGGTTCTACACTTTTATACTTTAGCAAGAAAAAATTCGAAAATAATAAAACTGCAATAAAAGTGGGTAATAAAACTGTTGTAGTGGTTATACAGTGTCCCCCTAAAGTCGTGCGCAAATTCATTATTAGGTAAACAAAAGAAATTATTAAAAATTCCCGAAACAGGTCGATTTTTGAATTTAATTTACTATTTTTTCAAATAATAGTTTAATATACAGGGTGACCTATGTTCGAGTAATGACGTCATCACAATTTTTTTTAAATGGAACACCCCACTTTTTCCAATTTTCGGATTGCCCTAACTGAGCTGATTCCAAAAAATATACCACAAGTTGCTTCTAATTGTTACAGGGAGGACAACAATACCCAAATTATTTACAAATACTAAATTTATTTACAAATAAATAAACGTACTAAAAATTGAATCAAATCACCACATATCATTTTAAAATGTCATTATTTTTTGCTATTATTTCTTTGATGCTTTTTTAATTTTATCTGCCTGATAGAACGTGCTCGTGTATTTCTTGCAGGCAATCATTTTTAAATAGTTTGTTAAGATTGTACAAGTAAATCCATTTTGAATGATTCTTCCTTAAAATATTGAGTATTTTTTAATTAATTAAAAAACATGATTCTAAGTGAAACCGAACGGATTGAAATTCTTATGATGATCGGATATGGTGATAGAATTCGAACTCATGAGGAAGTTTGTGTTTTGTTTAATGAAATTCATCCCAATCGTCCACCAATAAATCGATCCACGGTTAGCCGAACTGAAGCAAAGTTTCGAAATCATGGTCATGTTAAAGATATGCCCAGATCTGGCCGACCGACTGTAGATGAAGAAGTGCAGTTACAAGCCCTTTTGACCATTCATGAAAACCCGCAATCCAGTCTGAGAGTCGTAGCAGATAATTTAGGAATGAGTGAAAGTACATTGAGTAGACTTCTTCACAGAAACAAGTATCATCCCTACAAAGTCCACTTAGTACAAGAATTATGTGACGATGATTTCGACAGACGCACAGAATTTTGCGAAATGATGATGGAAGAATGTCAGGCAGATCCGGATTTTGTGAAACGCATAATTTTCTCCGACGAGGCGTCTTTTTATTTGAATGGCACCGTCAATAAACAGAATTGTCGGTACTGGTCAGATCGCAATCCA